GATATTCTTATAGTACAAAACGTTTCACTTTTTGAACAAAACTTTCAGTTGAAAAAAAACGCCATTACTTATGGGCCAAACCAATAGTAGATAGCGAGGAAGTTGACAGAGAAAGAGGATTTGAAATCCACAAGCAGTCTTGAAAGTGTAATGCGGATGGAATAGAATTAGGTTGAATTGATAACCAAAACTGTACTATGCACAATTCATATCCAAGAAATGGGTAGGGCGTGAAAATGTGTTTCCAGTTGGATGTAGCGTCGAATGTCCTTCTCGCGAGACATTTTCGCCATGGTTGTAATCGTGCCTTTGCCCAGCGCAAGACAAGCTACAGTTGTTTCAAATGGAAATATTTGACAAAAAACTCATTATGCGACATGCAACTCATTATGTTCTGGATTACGCGGCCACGCCCTCCCCATATTCAAAGTATCATCATTAGCAGGGTAAGAAAAACGAGTTGATTGAAGGAAATAAGAGCTAAGTTCACAAAACGAAATTGTTCAAAAGAGGCAAGGAGATCTGAACATTTATTGGACGTACATTACACGAGTTGCACGTACCCTATGAGAACGTGCACGTAGACGAAATGCATATCGATTAAGAGCACGAAAAATCCTGCCACACCATAGATTTGGGGGGTAACCTTTGTGCCAGCTTCGCAACCATACGACAAAAAAAGATGCTGATGTGCTAGTTCACTTAGAGATTTTTCTAGGAATCATACCCTATATTCTGTCCCTTTGCGAGCAGGAGGACCGAAGGTGTGGGGGGGGAGACCACAAAGAAGATGAGAATGATGTCCGCCTTTTCAAAGCTCACATTCAGCTAAAAACGTCTGCAAAAAAGATGTAGTGGGAGAGTACATTGTAAGTCCCGGGTCTGTTTTAGTGAAGCATGGCTTTAATTCACGTAGTTTACATATTTCCAATCAATAAAACCATTAGATTTGGGGAATTGTTGAGCTTCAATAATGCGCAATTAAGCACAGTATGAAGAGAATCATTGTCATACAGTCGATAGGAGGCAACATTGGTGCCGAAAGTGAAGTCTTATCACGAAACGAGCCAAACACCGTCCACGATTATGGCTTTGAACGGTTGTCGCCGAGTTTGAGATATAAGCAGAGAAGAACACTGCAGTCAAGGCATGTTCTGTAGTTGGGGAAAATTTTTGCATAATATGACCCCGCCCCCTCCGAAACTCCCTCATTTGTACGATCTATCGGTCTTTTTTTTCGGCCAGTTCCTCCTTTTTTACTCTTTCTCGGAGAACCAACCGTCAAGGCGGTGGTGGGGAGGGAGGGGGAGGGGGGGAGGAGAAAAGGATGAAGGTATGGCGGGCAATTGAAAAAAAATCAGGAAGTGAACAACCGCAAACATCCTTTCAATGACAATTACGATTCGCTAAACCGATAACGATGAAACACGACCCGCCTGTTGGTGATCCCCAACGTAGAACGTGTCCTGACTGCAGTTGGGTAATTGTTCTGTTGCCCTGTGGGATGAAACTTTGGAAATTAGTTGAAGATTGGATGCCACCCAGTACTTCCTGGAGTGAGGTGTGGGCTGGGGGCGAGCGCTGGGTATAATCGCCGTCTTTGAGAAAGCGATGTACAATTGTCATCTAGGGGCAAGCGGCAGCTGCGGGAGGCTTAGATGCGATTGCATGGCAAGGGTTCAGCAACGAAAAGAGGGCAGAGAAGCAATGCCCTAAGAAAGTAAATTCTGTAACGGTTATCTCAGAAGCCTGTCCTCTGGCGCGCCTCGGCAAGGGCCTTCACTATGCACTGTAGTGAATGTCTGGTACCATGTCTTACGGAAGTGTGAGGCCACGCCCCCCAGGTGTCCCGGCGATATGGGTTCCGAGATAAGGTGAGCAGGAATAACTGCGCTAGCCTGAAGCTACAAGAGATCGATAAAGCGCCCAGCAGGCGGATCAAGGCGGCAGTCCCCTAAGAGTGGCCATCAATCCCGAAGCAAGCTTCCGCGGGACAGCAGAGCGATTCGCCGATGGTTGACTCAACAGAACATCACAAGTAACCAAAAAAAGTACTGCGTCTCCACCTATCTGTAAGAGATCCTTGGGCAGTGAAAAGGGTTCAACTGTGGGCACATTGATGTTAGCAAGATTTCGCTCTACTATGCATAAACTGGACGGATGTGTGGCAGGAGTGAAAAGGTTACGATATCCTCGCACAGTCCACTCAGTACAGATAGGCATCTGGAACCAACTTCAAGTAAGTGCTTTCGTCCCCTCCCCCCCCCCTTCCTCCTGCATGATTATTCCCTCGAATCCTTCGAGTGTCTGCCCGGAGATGAAAGATTTTACTTATCTTTTTGCTGTGTGTGGGTACACATGAGGAAGGATGAAATCGTAGTGTAGATGTGACCCATTCAATTTCCCCAACAACCGCCCTGTCTCACTTAAGAACTCAGCGAATCCTTATGCGACATCCTCAGTTTTAGCCAAAATTTTCGCTCACTTCGTGCCACATGGCCACCACACGCGGTCTACGCGCAAGGAGGGTGGTAGGGCTGCTGTCCTCGTCACCTCACTTTAGAAAATCAAAAACATCAGTCAGTTCTGCGCGAGCGTCGAAAAGTAGTGAGAGGTAAGGGTGGCCGGGGAACGGGGAGGGAGGGCTGGCCTCGGCGAAATGGGTAGGATGGTATACAAGTGTGTGAAAGAGGGATATCAACAATTTGATCCGCTTCACAAACGACTCTCTCTCCCTACCGACCAAGTTCGAGCGCGAATGGGTCCACTCAAGGAACTGTGTACGTCCCAACTATTCAGGTATCAGATCGAAATCCATTCTGGACGTTGCGCTATGGTACGACTCCAGTCATCAGATTGGTGAATCTCTTCCAGCTCCTTGATGTAAATGATAAAAAAAATGTATAAAAAGCGTGAGCTGCAGCTGGTTACTGTCGTCGAAAGACGCCAGTTCATAGCTTTTTGTGTATGAATAGTACTGTTGCGGTCCCATGGTTTTTTTGCAAACGAACGGGCTATTGTTTTTTCGTTGCTGTCTGTCAAGTGCACTTGACAAACGTCGGCTGAAGAAGCCAAACCCAGTGGGAGACATGGAGCCCAGGGGTATTGAGTATGATTTCAACCAAAATGAACGGGACCCGGCAATGTCACGTCGTCTGAGCCATTCCCTTGCCCTGACGATGCATGCGCAGGTAGGTGTAGATGGAGGCCGTAAGTAAACCAGTTCCAATGATCGACCATGACTGCGATCCAAAGTTAGCTGCTGGAGGACTCACACACACACTCGAAAAAATTAGCTTTCGTGGGATCAGTCCCTCAGAGAGAACAGGACAGGCGCAGATCCTCTATATAAAGTGAAAAAAAATGGAGATGATAGCTTTCTTTAAAGCCCCTTCGCGGTCCCAGTGCAAAGAATGTGTCTGAGGCAACTCCACGGCTTCTTCAAAAGGCCTGACCACCTTAGGAAAGATATTTTTCTTTTTTCCAAGATCTGTCAGGTAGGCCATATACAACTACAACGCAATACTGCTTGGTCAGACGTTCAGCACTCGTTCCTGGTTCCAAAACTGATGGGCCTGCTCTTTAGCGATGCGACCTCCAAAGGCTAGTGAAAATGCAGGATCTGAATAACCTCATGCAAAGCGCTGCGACTGATGGCGGCATCAGAGGATTGCAGGAGGTACTGTGAAGCAACTTCTCTTTGATCCCGCCGGGGGGACGGAACCCAGTAACACAGAGCTTGTGTGTCATTGGGCGAAGGATTTTTCGAAAATACGCCTTCTTCGCCCCTTATACACCCCCACCCCCCCACACCTTCCGTGACGTCGCAGTGACTTTGAGTGTTGACCGCTCCTCGCGAGGTCTGACGTCAAGACGCTGGTGAAGATGCATCACCAGGGCTAGCCAACTTATGGTCCAACGAGGGTAAGCTCTGGTTTGGGCACAGATAGCGGGAATTCCTCTCCGAGTTATAAACCCGTGTTCACAACCCGACAACTGGGCGCAGATTTTCAACCTTTAGTGGCGCTGCGACCGACTTGGCCTGCAGCTTAGAGTGGCAAAAAGGATAGGTTCATCCACTTCAATCTTTGATGACTGAGGAAGTACTTTTTCAAGTGATTAAACTTCAAAACCCAAAAGCCCCCATCAATTATATAAAATCTTAGGCAGTATAAAATTAGTTGAGAACAACGCGTGAAAACAGATACGGCAGCAGAGGAAAGCAAGACGACAAACATCGATGTCCAAGCATGTACGAGAAGCATGGAGTCGTTCTAGAGAAATAAAGTGCACACTGGTATGCGATTGACGGGCTCACGACAAGACACTCTCAGGCTTAGCGGTATTCTGTCCTTCTTGTTCACAGCAGCGCCCTCGTCCAACCAAATCGTCAGCGTCAGAGCATCGAGTGCATTGTGTACATCTAGTGGCGGCATATTGCCTTTGACGAACAGTTGTATCAACTGAGCTATGGCTAGATTTTGGAGATATTAGAGCGGAATAACTATTGGTAGAAGCGCACCATGCCTGTGAAGACGCCTTCACAGAAGGATCTTGTCACAGAAGAACTAACAAAAGGGCCAAAGAATGAAACTCTGGGCGTTTATGGCTCCTTTTTTATGCGCTGTGCACGGATACGCTATGCATTTCATTCCAGCTCACAATGAGACGTGATATTTTTGATTGTTCTCTGGTTAAGAACGCTGGGGGCAGCAATGAATAACTCAAGGCTTTCATCCTGACATAGTTGAAGTAGTAATTAGCTTGATATACATTTCAAAACAGCCATTATGATTTTTTGACGACTACGTAGACAGCTGGCTTCAGTTCATGGTAACCTGGATACGCTCTGCAAAGAAAACCAGCCCTACCTATCCGGAGGCTGCGAGAAGTTGTTTCCTACTGTCAGATGGTCAGCAGATAAGCCGCAGCGAAGACATCTACCCCTCTAGAAAATCTTTCAGAAATCATACTTCGTACGCTGTAACATCGCAGTCTGGTCACTCTGATACGAGTCTGTGTGTCGAAATTGGTTGCTGCTCAATCCGTTGTTGGAGTTGCTCGTGCTTCTCTAACTCCTCAGAATCCACCCGAGTTTCCGATCGATAGCGATACTCAATTCGACGGTGTTCGATAGTCGCGCTATCCTTCGATGGACTGCAATTGGACCGTGTTTAGAGGAACTCATGAGTCGGCTGAGAAAATCGGATTCATATGTACCATTTCACTTTTTGAGTTCATGACTTTTCACAACAAAATTCACGGCTTCTGCATCCAGATCAAAACTTAGTTACGTGGGTGGAATGCCCTTTACCACAATACATACCTGGACAGCTCCGCCGCCCTCATAGCCCACGCCCACATTTGCAGCATGGTCGATGATTTTCAAATTGGTTACTCTATCAACATTCGACTATTTAAAGGCCTGTTTTTTTTGCAGCTTTACTTATTTTCGCACATACACAACGTGAGCTGGACAAAGCGCAAGATACAATGCGCGTACAGCCAACTTCGCCCAACTTCTAAATGGACTTCTCTGCTGCAAAGTTCGAATTTTCATACCTTTTTTCAACGTCGCTGTTTTTATTCCCAGTCTTCAGACAATGGAGGTACTCGTTAATGTAGATACTTAGGCTCCGCCCTCTCACTACGCTCACTTTTGCGGCTTTTTGCAAACTAACATTTTTTGCATTTTGAACTGTTACGTGAGCTCCGTTCACCATGAAAAGTTCCACCCACTCTGAACGAGCGCCGCCCACTTCTGAAAAATGGTGGGAATCTCCTGTTCAGAGTCTGAAATGACATGCTACGGTTTCACTCGTCACTCGGAGCAAAAAATCAGGCAAAGTTTGTTTCAAGTGACCAGCGAGATCCTAACGTGCACACGTGCAAGTTGAGAACCTGCATTGCCAATTTGGACTTTTTCCAGAAGCGGGCGGAACTCGTGCAAAGTGGGCGGGGCTTAACACGGTGTGGGTGCGCCACGTAGTAGCCCAAGAACGGAATTACTCTGAAAAAAAAATCACAATTGCACAAAAACCTGCAAAAGAGGCGTGGCTAGGAGGCATAAAGTGCGAGTGCATGAGTGCGCGTCAGCGAGTACCTTCGAGTCCGAAGAGCGGGAATGAAACGGAGGAGCGAACCCTAAGAAAAAAGTTTATGAAAAAGTCAAAGTTCTCAATCCTCTAAAAGTGGACGGAGCTGCCAATGTGCCGATGGCCAGTCTTTTTCAGCTAGTGTGCATGTACGAACAGATGAGAATGCAGAAAATTTCAAAGCCGAAGTTAAGAAAAAATCTGAAAAATCACCAGACCACGCGGTCTGCCGGAAATGTGGGTGTACGCTATGAGAGCGGGGGCATGCAATATCTTAGATGTCTAGTAAGCGCCAGGGGCAACCCAAGTCTTCTTGGTTCTGTCTTGAAAAGTCGTGAATAGAAAATGAAAACGGTACATACTGCGCGCCAAGAAATCGCGAGCGCCTCAACAACAATTTTTATAGAAATGCTGCTCGCACAAACTTACCCATGAAAATCCCATTCAGATCGGCTTCTGGGCTGATCTTCTGACGCCAAAGGCACTTCATAGCGTCTCTCCGGAACACGTGTAGATGTACCCACGTTGTTGGCCCGATTCTCGTGGGAAGTACTTCGCCTCGTGTACGGATCGGTATTCCTTCTGAAGAAAAATGCATCAGTTTCTTCTAGGAGCAGACAACATTGAACTTAAAGAAAGGTGGTCCTCCTTCATTATGAGAGCGAGCTGGGTGGTCCTCATTTATAACTAGAACAGGCTGTCTGATCTCAGTGTAAAAGAAAAAAACTATAAGCATACATACATCAGAAAATGTATTTTTATTTCTCTATTCTATTTTTATCCACTGGATGACTCACAGCGAAGTATTTTTTCCGAAAGATTCACTATACATAGAATCTTCGCTATCTGATTAATCTCCACAACTTGCACGCCCCCGCCCCCCTCCTACGTCCTCCTCCCCACCTCCGCCGACTTTCTGATCCCTTCAATGCCTCCGATGAAGATTTCGTCTTGGAAAGGTGTATCTGACTAAGGATCAAGGTGCTAAGCATTGTACAGTCTTGTATTGTTCTCTGCGGGCGCTAGAACGTTCCAGGGATGTGGGGGGGGGGCAGGATTCAGCCTGTTCTCCCACAACTGGGGAAGCTGGCAGGCGACAAATGGTGGAGATGCCGCCGCGTCAAACGTCGCTCCCCCGCCCCCAAAACGTCCACCATCCACATAGAACAATGCTATGAGCCTAATAGAGTTTTAGTGAGAATTATTCATTCAGCAGACTTATAGTTATGATTTCTGATAGGATAAGGCGTAAAGGGGCGCTCAATAGAGCACGCGACTTTTTCTATCAGTTGATGCCACCCTAAGCCGGCCACAATTGGTGGGAGAGACTATACCACCTGGATTCTATACCACGGCCCTGGCATCTTTATCAAACCAGCTCTTGTCAGGCAGAACAGAAAGAAAAAAAGTTGTAAGAAGAAAAGAAGAAAAAAGAAAGAAAATGGATCAGATCGAGAAGAAGTGAACTCACTCTCAGCATTTCTCCAACATGAAGAAAGAATAATAGGATAAAAGGAGGATTAAGTAAACTGAATAAATAAGTGAGAGAAAGTTTTGAAAATTCGACCTCCCCTCCCCAGGGTGCGATTACGCTCCCCTCCCGTTGAAGATTCTGATACCGGTACACCTCACTTCTACGATATTTTTAAGTGCTAGCAAAGATTTTATGTTAATCTTTTAACAAGCGGGTTTTGTCCGAGACTGTCGCCTTCAGAAGCCTCGACAGTTGTCTTTTGAATTGCTTTCACTAAACCCTTTCACCTCGAAGCTTGCGATAAAATTTAGGAAGAATACATTTGAAAACCTCAGAGCAAAGACTGAAGGAGTCGTTTGACGGGGAGACTTCAACTGAGAGGAAGACAAACAAATAAAATACTTGAACACCTTTAAAACGGCGTGACACACATGGCGTGTCATACATTTTTTCACTCTGCGCTGTTTCATATAGTCTTTCATTTGGCATTTATTTCGTGTGCTTATGCCAAATCCGACTTTGGACACGGAATGCACATATCGGATGTGAAAGTAAAAAAAACGGACAAAATTACTGATCGATTCAAAAGTGGCGAATTGACGGGGAAATGCTCGCAAAATGGCTGTACGCAGTGTTAGTGCGGAACTTTTTCGAAAATGTTCAATGAAAAATTCGCTTTCACTTTCCGAGTGGGTCGTCTATTTTCACTGCGTACGTATTACTTCCATACATTGACAGTGAGACTATTCCCATTGCTGTAAAGGAAGCAACGCTATGAGCTTACCTTCCTTAAAAAACACCTATCTATTAGTCCCGAAGTAATGATTGTCTAGGAAAGCGTGTAAGTGCAGTGCACGTAAGCCAGAAGAAGGTCAGAGCTTCGGCTCCAATCTTCGGCTACTCTAATCGCCAGAAGTCGATCCCATATGTTCATTTGTCGGTCACCAAAAATGCCTTTGGGTGAAAGAAGTCGCCTCGAAGTTAGCGCTGCTTTTCGATGAGTGCCCTATAGACCATCAGGGCATATCCTGCAAGGGAGAAAATTTTAGCAAATCACGACCCCTTTCACCCTCAAGGTCTCCCATCTAGCACGACCTCCTCCACTTTTCCACCAGAAGCTGCTGTCGCGCGGAGGGAAGGGGCACATAGCACAGAAAAAAAAGCAACAGAATCAACAGTTAAAAGAATTCTTTCTGAAGGCAAATGCGATCTCCATCCCTCCAGCGCCAAGTATAACCCCCCCCCCCTTCGGCGGGGAGCCCCTACCTACGATGTGCCGTTTGGAGGACCTAATCGCTGACAAAGGGTTCCTGAAAAGAAGAGGGACTCAGAGTACACGTACAATTTGAAAAGTTCGAGCACCCCTAGCGAAAAAAAACGTTATTAACTGAGTTTTGTAAAAGTCCTTGCAATAACCAAACACTGAAACTGCTACATAGAATTAAATCACCTTCATTAATGAAAACAACTCATACCGAAGAATAGAAATAATGTCATTTAGACACCCAATTTTAGGAATTTTCACAGCCTAGACAACCCTGTTCAGGTAAGTCGAAGAGGTTCCAGTCGCAGTTCGGCTTGGTGGGGGCACCAAATGGTGCTCAGCGAGTCTTGCACAATTACCCTGTGAAGACCTGTGAATTCATGTAAGTAAAGTGGCTCACTTGTACTTTCGCAAATTCTAAAGAGTTTACAAGCGTCAACCTGTTGCTTAACATGTGCTAACAAAATGAACAACTAGCGCAAGTAGACAAATGCCCCCTCCAAGACAAACAGCGCAGGGATTGCACTTCCAACTTTTCCAACACTGGTAAGGTTTTTTCACTTGCACCAAAGGAGCGCGGCAATCGTGGTTGACAAGAGGATGCGTCAACGGGGTTATCTGTAACAAATAAAGGCGCGTGTGGCTGGTGACGGAGCTGTGCATACTCTGCACAGACACGACTGCACAGACTGCACATCATCATCATCGAAGGGGCAAAACCACGAAAACTGGCCTTTTTCTCGATATCCTTGCGAAGCAGCACTTTGCCCCCATCCTTCTCGTACGAAGTCAACGAAGGTGTTTCCTCACAGCTTCAGCAACCGATCGATAGATATCGTCTCACTGAAGGTTCACTGGATCGCAAAAGGGAAAAAAATCGGAAAAATTACTAGAGAGGAGTTGTATTGCAGGAATACGAAAAAAATGGAAACACTGCTGCGAGAGCCGAATGAATCCAAAACGTTGGGCAAGCGTTGATGGTTCAGGCCCGGGGAGTATTTAACGCGGAGCGTCCATAAAAGAGCCAACTCATTCACAATCGCTCCATCGTAGCGACTATCGGGCAAAATTGAACACGTCTGCAGCCGAGAGCTGCTCCAACTGTTCCAACAACCACGAACACCGAATAATCGGTATAAAAAGCATCAAACTAGCTTATGTGAACACCGCGGGAGCCGATGAGATCTGAAAGGGACAAGTGAGTATCATCCATAAACCAGCGACAACCCTCCTAGTGTAATAAGAAGAAAAATTTATTAAAAAACGCAAATGCACGACATGAATCGGGAATGAGATGGGTCAGATGGTGTTGTGGATACTTGGAGGTTCTTTTTTCTGATGAGAGGCAGAAGTACAAACCGTCGTATCATCTAACATCTAACGGGTTGACGCATTGATCCTGGCGAGTCCTCGTAGGGCTGGGAAAAAACGAAGCTGTTACTATGAATTTCACCATTTCCACTCCTACAGATGCCGCATGCCGCTCCAGGTTTACAGGTGGAAGGAAATAAAATGTCTGGAGAGGTGACGTCCACCATTGTAAAGAATTTGTGCTCACAATCCCGACCCCTTTCCCCTATGTACCATCTTCTGGATCCTTTTTCCCGAACTCCTCCTTTCCCGTAACGTTCCATTTCTGGATTCTTGTTTTCCCGAAGTTCCTCCACTTGTTTCCCTAACGTGTACCATGGAGAGAGGAAATGGAATACGTATCGTGCTGGATGAGAGGGCGAAAAACGGAGTACGTAGTTGCCTTCTCGAGGACGAAATACGAAGAAAAGTCAGAGTGAGGCATTTCTTGCGAGAGCACGTACTAACTCCTCCTCTCTAAAGCAACCAAATACGCCCCCCCCCCCCTTCTCCCCGCTCGGGGATTCCCAAGACTGGCTAACTTACAATAATGAGCAGATACAAAGCATTCCTTCCTTGTCGGCAACAGGGCCCATTATTCGTTATAACGGTCGCATTTGTAAGGAAAGGGGTTTCATAAGGTTCCAAAAAATTTCAGATCATTCTCTTGCAATTCCACGTGCCGACACGTCGTTTACATGGTGGTTCATCTCCCTCTCATTATTGGAAGAGGTATGTGGCAAGAGTAGATCGTAATTACACTGCGACCAGTGAGGTTCGGTGTGACACCGCGCCCGCTAATGGCAACGATTTTGGATGGTATTGGTCAAGAAAAGGCAATGTATGGCTAAAAATAGACACAGGTATCTACCCATAGCTGTTACGATGTCTCTCTGTAACTACATATTGATGCTCCACTTCGAAAAGACGGTAGTGCTTACATTAGGGAACACGTCGCGCCATCGCTACGCAGCGCGACGATGCGCCCATTTACGAATTCTCTGGCCCGTCCCCCCATCTGATGGTAATGTCTGTGGAGATTTTGGATGACCTCGAGACTCCCACAGTTTGAGCGGCAGGGCATTACATGGAAATGAGAAGAGTTAGTCATACTGTACAAGCCCTCCCCCTCCTCCGCCTCAAACATGACCACTTTAAACTTAGTCGACTTCACTTTCTCGTAATATCCCGAAGATGGGGAAGGCGTGGCTGCGTACTTCTATGGATAGGACGCGTTTTTTCGCGAGTCTTAAGACAACTGTCATCTCGTCTTGTGTTGGGCATAATGACAATTGCCCTAAATGGCAGTATCCTACCGAAAGACCACCACAGTCAAGTGAAGTATATTCGCGATAGTGACCTCCACACTTCTAAAGTTCGAGTATATCTACTTGCCTTCTTTATCTCCAACCTTCGGAACACCTCGTCGACCAGCAGGAAGGAGACATATGGTTGAGAATTACTATCATTCTTCCAGCACTCTTCCACCCTTCATATTCATACAAAACCATTCCAGCAAGCGGAATACAAATACGCGACTTCCTCCAATGGGAACTCGTCAAAGATGGTGTCCCATGTGGCAACCGCGCCTCTTCCCATGCTGGAAGAGCAGTTTCCATGGGTAGTCACTCCTTGAACTGAATGATGAACTATGTTTGAACAGGTGAGCCACTACTTCGCTGCATTATGCGGAGAACTGCATGTCCTTCCTCCTGAGCTCTCATAAACCTTCGTTCTCTTCTCCTCTCCTCTCATATGACACAATCAGTGGAACGCCTTCAAAAAGCGGTCAATCACGTGATAACTGATATGGATTTCTGGCAACAGGAGCCAAGAAACGGACTGGAACGCTTCCTTAATTACGCCGTCTGCAGATCTCTAATCTCTGCATTTTTGTCTTGAAATACGCTGGCAAAATGGGCAGGGTTTGGAGCAGCCATTCCACTATGACCTGACACCAGCTTTCCATTATTTCTGCGGTTTCGAA